AGTAGCTTTTCGTCTTCGCTTGCTTATGATGAGGACTACCTGGAGCAGGACGGTGGCTGGCCTTCGGCATTTCTTGACGACTTTGAATCCAAGTTTTGGATGACTTACAGATCAGAGTTCCAGGCTATAGCAAAATCTACAGATCCACGAGCCTCGTCTGCGTTATCTTTCTCGATGCGTATCAAAAGTCAACTAGTGGATCAAAACGGCTTCTCGTCTGACAGTGGCTGGGGATGCATGATCCGATCAGGTCAAAGCTTACTCGCAAATGCGATGGCAGTCATCAACTTAGGGCGCGGTGAGTTGCCTGGGATAGTTTGACGATTACTATCGCTGCAAGTCCCTTTCGCTGACATCGGTAGTAGGATGGCGACGGGGTGATAAAACTGAAGAGGAGAGAAAGCTGATTTCTTTATTTGCGGACGATCCAAGAGCGCCTTATTCCATCCATCAATTCGTTCAACATGGCGCAGTGGCATGTGGGAAATACCCTGGGGAATGGTTTGGCCCCTCGGCCACCGCTCGCTGCATTCAGTAGGCCTGCGATATTGTTCCTAGATGCAGTCATACAGGCTAATTTCCTAAACCAGAGCCTTGGCCAATGCCCAAGAACACCAGCCTCTCCGAGTGTATTCCACTGGAGACGGACCGGATGTCTACGAGGAGAACTTCATGAAGATAGCCAAACCTGAAGGTTCTCAGTTCCACCCTACACTCATATTGGTTGGTACGAGGCTCGGAATTGACAAGATTACACCGGTCTACTGGGAGGCTCTCATAGCCGCACTACAAATGCCACAGTCAGTGGGCATTGCAGGGTAGGCGCCTCCATCAAAATCAGATATCGCGTACTCACTCACGATCATTACAGTGGCAGACCTTCCTCTTCTCACTATTTCATCGGCACACAAGGTTCCTACTTGTTCTACCTTGATCCGCACCATGCCCGACCTGCACTCCCATTTCATACGGATCCTTCTCGCTATAGTAAAGCAGATGTTGATACCGCTCATACTCGACGCTTACGTCGGCTCCATGTTCGGGAGCTGGACCCCAGCATGCTCATTGGTTTCTTGATACAGGACGAGGACGACTGGATCGAGTGGAGGCGTAACGTAAAGCACGTCCAAGGAAAAGCCGTGATCCATGTCGCGGACTACGATCCTGTGTCCAGAGGTGGCGGAGGAGAGAGGAATAGTGCCATTGATGAAGTTGAAACAATTAGTGATGATGATGGTGACACCATCTTGGACGCTTGAGATTCTCCGTCGTTTGCTATGATCCTTCCGCCAGGATCCGAGATCGAATATATGGGCGTTGGAAACGCATGGATGCACATTGCCCGATACAGGGTTTCTTCGCCTGAAGCTGCTGGGTTTGGGATAGGCTACATATCCGGTTCGGGGACAGTCGCATTATTGGCGTAAAGGATGCTCACTTTAATCACGAGGCTGGATAACACAGGATTGGTTAGGTATGAACATTGGTTTCCTTTAAGGTGCGAGTTCGCTCTTCAATCGTTGGATGATTGCCTGAGACAGCTCAGTCTTAGATACAGATTGACTCAGCGTCTCTTTTTCTTAGCGCCTGCTGGTGCCTTTGCATTTGGGGGTGCCCGGGCATGATTGAGATCACGAATATGACTGAAGAGCTGGCTTTTGGACGGAAACGATGCATTACACACAATGCATGTATTCTATGGATCAGGTGTCAGTGATCAAAAGCAGAGTTGACTTTGGATATATCCAGACCGGTACTCACACTGTTAGTTTCGGCCTCCTCCACTGCTTGGCGTGCTGCCTTTTTTTCACGCTTCGCCTTGGCCTTCCCTAACTTCTTTGGCTGTGCCCCATGGCCACTTTCATTGTCATCTTCAAGTGACAATTTTTCTAGACCGGCTGACACAATCTGAGCAGCGGCTTCTGTGCCATCGTCTTCGCTCGCCCCGGTAACGGTGTTGTCGTTTGCGAATAGCCTTTGCTCAACCTCGGCACGCGAAGCATACTCGTCATCCGCGAGACTATCTGACGACGTATCAGTGAGCTCCATCTCATCGATATGAGGAATTGGTCCTGCTGATGTGTCATCCGTGCCCTTTGCGGCGTCCAATTCACCGCGGTCCCGAGTACCAAACCCCCCCTCAGACTCGTCGCTCGGTGTCGCCATCTTGGGCGCGATAGGAACGTCACGTAGACCTAGATCCATATCTTCGTTCTTCATTTGGCGCCTCAAATATTGCACTGCCTTAACGTGTTTCTTACTTCTCTCATGTGCTTCAAATGACTTCTCGCTCTTGAAGGTCTTGTTGCATACAACGCATTCGATCTCCTCTACCTCTGATTCCTCCTCCTCGCTGCTCGAGAAGTGGCCGGTCGTATCGCCTTCATCCCTCGCCTGAGCCCAGTCAGGAACGGATGCCTCGGATAGCTTCTCTTTATTGGCGGCACGTGAGCGTGCAGCTTGAGCGGCAGCGGCGGAACGTAAAGACTCCTGGCGTTCGGCAGCTGTCTGTGTGTTTGGAAGGTAACGCGGATCACGTTTTCGTACAAAAGTGACGAGGAATCTGACTGCGTCATTGAATTCTCGTACGGCTTCTTCACGAATCTTCTTGTTTTCTCTCTCCATAGCACGTCTGATACGGCGATCCGGGGCGTCCACGAGCCGGTATTTGTCCTTCCACGCAAAAGTCTTGCAAGTCGAGAAGCTGGCCCAGGCACTGTAGAAGGCTTTGACAGTGTGCTCATAGCTGTCGGTAGAGGAGCCAAATGTAGGATAATCCGGAGTGTCTCCCACTTCATACGCGCCAGCAGCGATTTCTTCATCAACAAGTTGATCGAATGTCGCCTTGGCAATGCCAAAGAACCCTGAAGCGCCATCTGTGAAAGGAACAGTGGAGTCAAAACGGCGAATGAGGGAGAATATGTCTTCGGTGGACGTGAGCTTCACGTTATTGTACTCGGGGCTGGTGCCTGAATCGGTCGGATCGGCCCCACGTAAGATGGCTTCGCGATGGGAGTCGTACCAAGCTCTCTCCTGGGGATCGGCAAGTACCTCGTATGCGGCCTGGATTTCGGCGAAGCGACGGGTCGCATTCTGGACATCATGGAAGTTTCGGTCCGGGTGAAGCTCAAGGGCTCGTTTTCTGTAAGCTTTTTTGATTCTGTAGGCCCGAGATCAATAAGCATAGACCCAAGCAAAGTCCTAAGAGCATTGGGAGGTGAAGAACCAGTGCGTACTCATCGTCAGAAGCGTCGCGCCCAACTCCAAGGAGCTCGTAGTAACATGTCTTGACCGGTTCAGAGGAGCCTTCGCTCTGGTCTCGACCGGAGGATTGCTGAGCACCCATGACACACCGGAGACGCTATGTGGTGTAAAGCGAATTGGGTGGGGTTATTTGTTGCTGTCCGCCGAATACCTTGACATGCGAGAGCTGCCACAGGATCGCGTGTTGGAGCCGGCGCGTGTTTGGTGAAAGCTGGCGACCGACCAGTCCAAGAAGCCCGACACGCGGCACAGAAAAGTGAAGAAAACCAGTGATCAAGATATTCACCAGGTCAAGGTAACCAAAAATTCACAACAGATGAAGGACTTGGGCAGGCACGTCAGCTAGGTAAAGACGATAAGATATTTCCAAGTAAAGTAAGGATGGAACTTCGTTGTGGTGCCTAGGTAGGTAGACTTTAGGTACTAAGGTAATCCATAAATCTTGAACCGAATTTCATTCCTTTTTTTTTGTTTTTTTTTTGGTAGGTGCCCCTCCACGCCTTCAGGTAAGGGAAGGAAGACATACCCCGCAACCCCTCATTGCCAGCCATTGTTGATAAGATAAGAAATTAAGGGTTGTTGAAGTTGAAGGTAAGGTTCCTTGAGGTAGGCGCCGCGGTAGCTAAAGTACTGTGTACCTATCTCTTCTATCTACCTACTCATTCAATATCTGATCTTGGAGAATGGTCACCATCACACTGATACCTACTGCCCATACGAATGCCTTTGCCTAAGGTACTTCATTGAACCACATGGTTGACGCTAGATAAAGACCGACAATAGATGTCTGATCGAAAACCTACGCAAGTCGACAGGTAGGCAGTTGGCAGTGCAGGTGCACGCCAGGACATTTGATGAGCGAGCGAGGTAATTGTCCGTCATTGCACGGATACAGTAATACTCTATATTAGTACGACTATCTCATTACTCGGAAAAGACTGACAATGACTCTTGCGTGGTCCCACCTGGCATGGCAACGTGCCGACTCCGAAGTTGGTGACTGGGTTGAAGGTAATGAGCATCGATCGAGAGGAGCTACTTTTCGGCTTGGTGACAGGAGCAGCGGGCCCAATCCCACCCTTTTCTGAGGACAACATTGAGTGAAGTATCTTCAATGACTGAGTCCGTGTACGGAAAGTCTGCTCAGGTGTAGTCGAACGACTGCCGTAAGGCATATTATGGCACCTACGATTGCCCTACCTAAAGTACCAAGTGTTCCCAGTTCCCTACCATACCGTATTGTACCTAAGGTACTTGGTGTCATGCGAAGCAAGGTATGTATGCATATATCCGAACCTCGAGGAGAGTTAGTGACGGGCTGACGGCTACGGATGGGGATGTGGATGGGATGGGATGGCGTCCGGTGTGCCCGCCCGCCCATCCATGCCTTGTTCTACCCCCCGCCTTTCCCTCCCTGTCCTGGCCCGTTGTTCGACAGCATGGTCCAGCCCAGCCTAGCCCTCAGCACGTCGTCGAGGCCGGTGACAGGAAACCAATCGAGTTACGTACTTTTGCCTGTCTGCGATTGAAATTTTATATAGTGCAAGTACGCTGCTGACCCTTTACCTACCCTCCCGTCACAAGCCCCCCAACCCTCTTTCTTGATCATTCGTCTATGAATCCAGGGCTATCCTATCCACCCCTCGCAGAGAAAGCCATGTCTTTACGCCCTGCCAAGACACCAGTCCGAGTATCGAGTATTGTTGCACTGCAGTTCCAACCAATTTGAATACGCCATGAAGTTTGCACACGACTTCAAGGAAACGCTTAGGCGCCAAGGTTAGTGTACCACATGTCACTATTCTACGGATATTTCCCTCTCATATCCTTCCTGTTCGTCTCATCTCAGACACTCTGTGAGACTGAATGCGATTTTCCCCTCAAACAACTAAAAAATGACGATACATTGTCTGACGCTGCTCAATTTCAGACTTTCCGCCCCACTGGATTGATCAGGCCATCCCTTATGGCCAGCTAAAGAAGGTTCTCAAACGCGTCGCCAGGGAACTCAACGATCTGGGGCTTGATCCCGAGACTCTACGCCAACTTCTCGACCCGGCTAATGATTCGCCACTGGCCGCCAAATACCGCCTCAATGGTAAACTCTCTCTGCCCTCTCCCATGTAACGGTGTTCGCATTACCGCCACCCCGTACGCCCCTACCACAAGCATAAGGGCTAATTCGCACACAGCTGCCGGGAACTCAAAGTTACTGAGACCAAAGCTGACTGTTTTGGTGCACATGCGCGACGGTAATGCCGTTGATGCATCACTAACGCCTGCATCCCGTTCCCTCATGGAACGCATCGCCGCCTTGCAGTCCCACGATCCAGCTCAACCGATCCCGGCTGCAGCTCCCGAAGACAACGTACCAACCAAGTCGCCAGCCTCGTCTGCTGAGTCTCTTGCTAATGCTGAGACTGAGTTGTCAGACACCCAGAGATGTCTACAGGTCGAAGGCCAGTCATCGCCAACAGAGCACTATGAGCGTATCGAAGTTCCACTTGTCTTTGATAGTGAGTTCTTTGACATTCTGCAGAGCGATGTCAACAACCTGGATGCACTTCAGGCAAAGGAAGAAAAGGCCATGGTGACGGAGATCGTTGCCTTGAGACAGGAGATTTCACATCTGACGAAACCCAGTCGCCTCTCCAAGAGCGACCTTGCGAGGTGGCGAGCCATTTTCGAGCTGTACCTCGACGCCCAGGTCTTCTTCTCAACCAACGAGCAAGACCACGGGTCCAGAACCAGTCAGACGGCTGCGAAGCAGCTCCAGTGGTTCCAAGAGGAAATCACAAAGAGGAATCTCGTCAAATCCTTCAAGATTGCCGAGAGTCGCGAAGCCTTGGTTCGCTTCTTAAGTCTTAACGCCGTTCTCCTCAAAAACTTGCAGTTCCAGGAAATCAACCAGGTTGCCATCTACAAAATTCTTAAGAGTGAGCCTCGCCCCTTATCAATATCGTTTTCAATCTAGTTGGATTTGTACAAGCGAAGCTGATTCACGGCAGAATTCGACAAACGTACCTGCCTAGGTGTTTCGAAATCCTTTCCAATTCAAGTCCACTCCGACAAGCTGCTGGCCGACTCCGTGGCGAAAGACATTTGCGCCCAAATGTCCACCGATTTAGTGTCAGTCGTACCGCAGATTAGTGATTATTTGTGTCCAATCTGCTTCGCTATTGCCTATAGGCCTGTCCGGCTAGCCTGCCAACATATATTTTGCATCCGGTGCATTGTCAAGATCCAAAGGCGGAACGAGAAGCACTGCCCTTTGTGTAGAGCAGACACCGTCATGAGGGCGTCCGCGGGTGAGTAGACCTAGTTTGCTGATGCAAAGTGCACACTGACTCACACTAATGATTGCAGATAATCTGGATATCCAACTAGAGAGATACATGCGCAAGTACTTCCCCAAGGAGGCCAAGGAGAAGCAGCGAGCCAACGAGATTGAACGAGGCATTGAGGACTATGGTCCTGAGTACGTGCACTCTGAATGCTCTGTTATGTAGATGCTGTCGTGTTTTATTTTCTTCTTCTTTGCTTTCCTATAGATTTCTTAGAGATACCCTTGCCGGTTGTAGGTTGAGCTTTCGGTTGCAACGAGACTTGAATGTGGGAGATTCTTGTGGTCGTTGCTGGCGAGCACCTCTTCGTTACTCTCCAGATTCTTGTCATCTTTTGGCTTCCGTGTGCCTCCGCATCCAGCTACCCATTAATGCTCCAGTCCTACTAAGTTTATTGTGCAACTCAATCATCTTGTGACTTTTCGACTGCTCGAAGAGCACTGGTGAAAATTTTTTGCAGCTCATCCTTCTCCTCCAGGCCGACACTGACGCGGATGAGGTCCGGATCAACACCCAGACCAGCGGCCCAGTCGAGCTCTTGGTAATGGGCCAGCAGTACATAAGGCGATGTCAGAGTAAAGTTCGTACCCAGACTTGGGCCCTTAGCCGTCTCAATGGCGTCGAAAAAGGCAATGGCGTGGGCCGTCTTGTGAAACGTGACCGACAGAAGCCCGCCATAACCCCCACCAGGCAATTTGCAGAGATCGTAGTTGGTTCTCGTCGGATTTACTCTCGGGTAGTAAACACATTTTACCAGCGGATGGGCCGAGAGGATGTCGCAAATTGTCTCGGAACTCTCGTTGATGCGCTCAATACGCGATGCAAAGTCGCGGCTGTTACGCTCCATGAAAACGACGTCCTCTGGCCAGTACGTATCTTCCAGATCCTCGATCCAAGCACCCTTCAGGGCCTGATAGTACTTGCCGCTTGGATTAAGGATGGCACTGCCGCCCATGACGTTGCAGTCGCCCGAGAATATCTTGGTCAGACTGCTTACGACTATGTCTGCGTATTGTAGCACGTCAATGTTGATGAAGCTGCCGATGGTCTCGTCCACAACGACGCCGAAATCGTACTTGTCTGCGAGGGTACGGATCCGCGCCAAGTTGGGGCAAGTTAGGAGAGGATTGCCGGGAAATTCACAAAAGAGCGCCAGGAAGCGCTCGCCACTCTCTAGGCGCTTTTCGAGATCGTCAAGATCATCCTCTGAAGCGCGCCCATAGAAGAGACAGCCGGGACCAAACTTTTGTAGGATCTTGAGCGTATCGACGTAGGGGAAGCCAAAGTTGACAGATTGGAGGTCGCCCCTAGCGCGCAGCATGGCCCGGTGGGCGTTGTAGATGGCATTCATGCCACATGGAAACAAGTATACGTCGCTTTCTTGCAGGTCCTTTTGGTTTCTCGCGTTTTCTCCCATGGGAGGCAGTGAGCTGATGCTGGCCTCCATGTCGGCAGCCATGGCGCCCGCAATTCTACGCTTAATGGCCGACCTGGCGCGCTCGACGAGGGACAGGTCGAGGTTACGGCCAAAGCGTTCCTCGAGAAAGCGTAGGCTTTCTTGCGTTTCAAACGCACTCTGGGGGTTCACCTTGGCTGCTGGGTGGTGAGCCGTCTTGGTGTCGTCGATGGAAGATGGGCGATGGTATCTCTTCGGACCTCTGTGGGCTTTTCCCACTGGGGAGTTGGGCCTTGCCACGGGAACGAAGAGGCCCTCCTTCAATAGACCATGACAGAATTCCGCTCTTCGGCTTGAGATTCCGTCTCCTGTATGCTGCCAGTACTGCTTGGCAAAGGGGAATACCTCGGGGGCATACACCACGGCAGAGACAGTGGGTGACAGGGAGCGCAGGAGCGGTGAGATATCCTTGGTCATGTCGAGCCCGAAATCAATGACGGTGGCACCGGCAGAAATTGAGGCATCTGCATGTTTCTTTACAAAGGCCAGGCACCTTCTCGCAATATGAGGGGTGGGAAACAACATGGCTTTCTGACCCGAAGGGCCATGTTGGGCAATCAGATCTTCAGCCAAGGCTACAATGCTCCTATGAATGAAGAATCTTGACAGAAAAATAGTCTCAGCCGGGAACAAAGAGTTGACAAGGAAGAAGAGGCTTACCTGGGATAACCGGTGGTCATCTTATCGACGACCCATGATTCTCCCTCTTCATAGCCGACATTTGCCTTCCACGTAGGAAGCTGAACGCTCACTGCCTACGCGGGCTGTTAGCAACGACGTCACACATGGCTCTGAACAAGGAAAGGGAACCACATGGAAGTGGCTTCGGCGTACATGAGCAGTGTCTGGCGGGATGGACTGTCCCAATTCCAGAGCGGGCATTGTGACAATCTTGACTTGTGCTTTTTATCTACGTGAACTGTACAATGTGTTAGACCTCATTTAAAAGCGTGTGTGTTATGACCAGTGATCGACTTGCTCTGTATTTCACCGAGGTGATGTGGTGTGGGCTTTTATGCGTCGTTGACCTGTATGAGAATGAGATGAGTCAAGTAGGCTGGAGTTTGAATTGGACAAGATGTGGGTCAAGGCCGGTGCAGAGGTGGCTAAGGTAGGTAAGGTATCACGCAAGAGCCCTCCACTCGTACAGTTCTCTTTCTTTCTTTCTTTCTCTCTCTCTCTCCTTCTCCCTCCCGCACTCACTAGTATTGTTTATCTCTGACTCTCCCTCTTTCCATGTGTGGGATCGACTGAGATTTCAAGTAGTCTAAAATGGGTACAAGGTATTGAAAATGGTGGCCCTGCCCAGTAGTTGTCGATGAAAATATGCTGTCAATTGCGAATCTCATCAGATTTACCTCCAGTGTCCATGTCCCCGGTTTGCCGGCACTTGACTCGATGTGGGTGATTAGAAGTCAGTATCCGTAGAAATCTGCCAAATCCCCAAAGGATAACTTTTAGTGGAGCGACGTGGGATTGAGAGTTTGTGACTGGTAATTGTTGGTCTGTGCCGTGGCATGCGGGGCGCCGAGGATCGGAGTGATGCCCCGCGAGGGGCATTTTATTCGACTCTACCTGCTGTCTCTCTACCTTACGCAATACGGATACCTACATATAGTACCTTTCTAACATACCTAGGACCTCAGACCCAAAGCCCAAATATTTGAACTTCTTGAAAGTAAGGTAAGTGAATTTGGGCATCTACGACGTGATATCTATCAAGCGAAATGTATCATAGCAGACCCAAAAACAGAATTGGTTTCCCTCGAGCCCTCACCTCAAGCCTCAAGCCCCAAGCCCCAAACAGACAGCGTTAAGATATCGGATAATACTATTGGTGACGGTGATAACCAAACAGTCCATAGCTTTGGTCCAGCCTATCATCTAACCAGACTATCCATTAATCAAGAGCTGAGGAACACTAGTCGACACCGGTCTAGCATTTCCACAAACTTGGCCCAAGACACGAAAACACCTACACGCATTCAAGAACTTGGTAGACCTCCGTGGAAGCCCATGTCAGCGAGATCAGCCTTGTGAAGAGCTTTTCTAGTATCTATCTCAGCGTTGAGCAGTCCCCAAGCAAGCAAAAGTATCTCAACATGACTCCCATATGTCACAATCATTTCCGTATTGCCCCGGCTTCAGCCTCATCTGGTCGTCATCATCCTTTGTAAATAGAACAACTGCCATGCCATGCATCCGTATCCGTGCCTAAATCGTAAAAGCCAGCCTTTAAATAAGAAAAATATGTTGCAATAACATCGGCACTCGTTCTGTGCGGCCGAGTAATCTGTTGATAATTTTGAGTCGCTCGACATTGGAGGTCTTGCCAGCCCCGATAGCTGTATCAAAACGTTCCGGTGGAAGACAACCCACTGCATATCTCCATCTCGTTAATGATACTGACGCCTGCTGGTCTTGCTGCCGATACAGCTGATACTATCACTTGGTGCTACGCTGATGGCGTCATCTTCCCAGGCACTACGACCACTGTCAATGCGGCTCTTTGGCGGAGGAGGGCCGCGTGCCGACACATAGGTCGGTGCTCGCGTGGCAGGGGGGTAGGCGAAGACGGGTTGAGTGTTTCGAACCGCCGTTGGAGCTCTACTTGGAGCTCTGGTTGGAGCTCTGCTCGGTGCTCTGCTGGGTGCCTTGCTAGGGACAACAGTAGCCGGCGCCGCCTGAGTGGGTGCCATGCTCGGGGCTCGGCTAGGTGCCACAGTAGGAGCTCTGCTACGCACAACAGTCGGAGGCCTGCTAGGCGCCCTGCTCGGCGCCCTGCTCGGCGCCATGCTCGGCGCCTTGGTGGGTGCGCGGCTCGGGACGAGGCTGGGGGCCATAGTCGGCGCGCGACTGGGTGCACGGCTAGGTGCTTGACTCCGCCCGCCCAATATCGTCTCAACAGTGGGCGGGGGCGGACGGATGGTGGACTGAGACCTCCCGCTTCGGGCTGAGACGTAGGTTCCGGCATCGTCAACGATGGTGCGGGGCACGGCCGACCTGCTGGCCATGCTGTGTCTTGAGCCTGCGTTACTTTGGTGCTCGTAATCAGTGAGCATAAGGGGGGCGGTTCGGGGAACGGCGGCTTGGCTGCGAGAACGAACACTGCTGCCTCTTTCGAGCTGATAGCGAGACGAGTGCCGGCTGCGGGTGTCGTCGTACAGGTCATCTGCGGCACGGCTTCGAGCGCCGACCTGGCTGTACTTGGCCATGTACTGGGGAGGTGCTCGGTTGTCCGATAGTGCCGGGTAAGCCTCTGGGTACCGGATCTTCTCGACGGTCCTCTCGACTTCGACATAACGTCCGGCCTGCGGATCGGTATATTGATCGGGGAAGGTGGAACGGCGTTGAAACGGAGGGGCGGCTCCGGAGCCATCAAACTCCTGGCGCGGAGCTCGTGCACGTTCCTTGCGCATCATTCCGTAGGTGACGGCAGCGCCGGCGGCGGCACCAACAGCTGCACCTAAAAGACTTCCGACAAGGGTGTTTGTAGCGATGCCACCGCTGGATGGAGAGGGCTGAGATGGGATTTCGTCTCTTTTGGTTGGCGATTCGATGACCGAGGTGGTGACGCTTCGACGAAGCATTGTGTAAGGAGGTTCGTTACCGGGAAATGACCCAGAGCGAGCGGCCATGGCGAAGACTGATGAAAAGGTCCCGGCAGTAGCGGAACCGGAAACAGAAGGCGGCGGGGGGGGCTCGGATGCTGCAACGTCGTAATTCCAATCCAGAATACGGCCAGCCTCCTCCGTGGTAGACTGTGTCTTTCGAACAGTAGAGCCAGCGTAGGAGGGAGGATAGTTGGGAGGGGGTTGATATACAACTTCCATGGTGTTACCGTCCAAGTCGGTCACAGTAGCCCGGTGGATATCGCCACTTTGAGTGATTAAAGCGGGACGAGTGAAGTGATCAGCCGGGACGCTGGACAGCAGGTTCGGATTGGCCCGGACGGCAAAGGCGTGGAAGTCGGTGACAGCGGTGGGGGAGGGAGCAGAAAAGACGGCGCGAGAGAGCTTCAGGGGCTCGCTGGAATTGCGGGCCTCGCGGATCTGGAAAATGGGGGTGAGCGGGGACAGTATACCGTATGTGACGGTGCTGGGAAGTCTGCCAGGACCTGAAGTGGTGATGGCCGTCTTGGAGTCGGTGTCGGCGCCTTCGTTGGCGCTGGCGTTGGCGTCCGGGGGAGCGGTCTGGGAATCCGTAGATATATAGTGGATGCCCAGAGATTGAAAAATGGCGGAGTAGAAGGAAGTTGAGGAGGGGAGGTGGGAGACGTCAAAGTAGGGAGTCATTTGGGGCGGTTGGTAGTAAAGGGCCGGTCCTGATGACTAGATAGGGCGGCTGTTTGAGGTGAGAGTGAAGCGAAGCGAAGAGCTAGGTAGCAGGTCGAGAATAGTTTCGTGTAAGTGCCGTTGCGCTTCCGCGGACGCGAGGGGGGGGGGGGGGGGGGGGGGCGGAGAAGGGGGCCAAGAGAGGGAGGGGGCGCCCGGTGGTGGGGGTTTTGGGGGAGGGGGGCGTGGGGGGAGGAGGGTGTGGGGGGGGGGGGGGGCGGGGGGGGGGGGGGGGGGGGGGGGGGGGGGGGGGGGGGGGCAGAGGCGCAGACAGGCGACTCAAGCTAAGTAGGCTTAGTGGCAGCCTCGTTGATTTGTGCGTTCTTCGAGGTGGTTGCAAAGAAAATTCGGAGTGAAACTATCCAGGGCAACCTATTGATGATGGTGTGTAGGTTTATGGTGGTGCACTGGTGATGGTGGTAGTGCTAGTGGGTGATTTGGTAAGGTATTGACAGGCAGGCAGCGTAGCACCGAGACAGATACCAGAATGCTAATGACAACAAGAAAGGGGAATCAACCTCAAGCATGCCAGGTCCCGACTCCTGCGTGAAAGGAAATGCTTAAAAGAGATACTTCTTAGTCTGACGAGGGGGGGGGGGGGGAGAGGGCACGCGCAACCGACATAAACCAAGCTGTGAGAGGGTCAAGACTCAAGCAAGTCTGCCCGCACATATGTGTCTTATGTACGGAGGTGCGTCTCAATAGTCCTTGCAGTTGCTGCCAAGACCAACCCCTGCCACAGACAGGGGAGTCGACAAGGGGCTGGCTAGGGTGTATATAAGCGGCAGAATTCGGCCACTATAATTATCGTTAATTATCGTCGATTTTGTAATAAAAAAGCGTTAATTAAGGTTAATTAGTAGCTATTTAACGGTATAATCTAGCCCGTTAACCCTCTTTATATTTATTACCGCCCTCTAGTATAATTATTTACTTAATATAATAAAGTATCCTTTTTATTTATTTCTAAATTTCCTTTAGTAATAATACGTACTAATACTCTTATTAACGACGTATTACTTCTACCCGGGACCTAAGCGCCCCCTTTTTAGTAATCTATCTCTTTATTTACGGCTAATAAGGTTTAATAAAATTAAGGTCGGGCGAATTACCTAGCTAAAAAAGCTTCGTAATCTTAAAAAGGCTATACATATAGTAAGTAAAATAATAGTTATAGGTAAGCACCTTATCCTCTTATATAATTAGATTACTAAGTAATCCTTTAACCTAAGGGAATAATTTAGGTAATAGGATCTTTTTATAATATCTATATTAGTTAATCCTGCCCTTACTATTTTATACTAACTTATCTAATTTCGTATTTTAATTAAATTAGGGCTTACGGCCCGGTAAATTCTATAAGCTTATTCGCTCTATACTACTCTTAAGCTCTTATTATTAACGTCGAACGGGCTCGAGTTTAATATTAAGCTAAGTAATCTCTACTTCGGTAGCCTTCTTCTTAGTAATAGTCTCGGGAATTTAATAATAATACGGCCCTTTTTTTTTATATATAAAAGAGCCCTAAAATATAAATTTAAAATAACCCTTCTACCTCTTTTATATATACTATTTAGTATAGGCCTTATCTAAGTAGTGCTAGAGCTTATAGCTATTACGGTAGTAATTAAGGGTAACTACGGTCTTATTTAACTATATAACCCGCTTCTAGTCGTCGAGGGTTTAGTACTAGTAATTAAGGTACTACTTAAGTCGCTCTTACTATATCTTTTTCGTTAAGCCTAGCTTATAAGTTAGTTTAGTTTTATAAAAGCCGTAGTAATAAAGGATTTACTAAATAGTTATTATTAATATATTAACACCGTCGTCTCTTATAAAGTCTTTAGTAATATTAATATAGTTCTTTTTATAGCTATACTAGTCGTAGTAAACCTTATAAATAATAGCGTCGTTAACCTCTTTAGTTTACTTAGTTAAGTAGCTATTTCGGGGGGTATTTTCGTAATAAATAAGTTAAATTAAAAAAGTAAGAGTAGCTAGGTCAAATCCGTTCTTTTTTATATAGATAAGAACGTTAAAGACGGTACGGATTAGAATTCTTAGAGCCTAAAATATCTATTTAATAATCTACTTAATTATATAACTTTATAAAACTAAAATTACTACCTTAACGCCTAGATCTAGCTTCTTCTTTATTAGTATCTTAGGATCTATACTAAGGGGAAAAAAAGGGCTCTAAAAGTAGTAATTTAGCGGGTTTAATAGTTTTAATATTCTCGTAAACCTCGTAATAATCGTAATAGTAGTATATAAGTTAAAGTAGTTACTATAGGTAGTACTAGGGTAGAAAGTAATTAAAGTAGGTTAAAAATAATCCGTGGCCTCCGATTGGTCGAAATTAGTTATAATTGTGGGTCTAGGTCTTGGCAGCAACTGCAAGGACTATTGAGACGCACCTCCGTACCTACTCCCGTCGGTAGCTACCTACCTAGATACCTTGCAACGTCTCTGGCAACCCACCCACCTGCAACTATGTACAAGACCTACTTTATCTGGGAGGTGAATATTGGCAGCCATACGGAAGCCAGTACTTTGTCTTCAAGGTACGGCGTGCCTAGGTAGGGTATCATCAGCGGCACATCCATCACTCCAGTAGCACGGGGCCGCCATAAACTGACAGCTTGTCCCTGCTGCTGAGCCCAACCTACCTACCTTACCTTGAGGCAGCTTAACGGAAACCCCACTCACAAGTCGGTAAGGAGTCGCACTTTTCGTCCAGTGCCTTCTGGCCAAATCCAATATGCAGCCAGCCCGTTCCGGACGAGCCCAGTCCAGCTGCGATGGTGTGTGGTGAACTGCAGCTAGTGGCCGGTGATGCAGGTGGCATGTCCACATTGCGCCGGGACATCCAGCCGGAGACCTCAGACGGGCCACGGAAGCATAGGGCGGACCACTTGATCTTTTTCGGCGCCTATGAAAGATGAGGCTATCCTAACGCCGCGCCAGCCAGTTTAGCATAGCCTGTACAGAGTACAGGTGTACGGATGCCAACTACGTGTAATTTGCCCCATCCTTCAGATACCAGCATTCATTCCCTCATTCTGAAGGGCGACTGACTGGTGTCATTGGGACCGTGGTCAGGCCCAGCCGCCCAACGATGTACATACAACCGGCCACAGGCAAGCGCCGCTTGGTATCGGGAGCTGGAGCTGGGGCTGGGGCTAGAGCCGGGCTACGTGTACGAATACCTGGCAGAACCGAGGAACGAGAAGTCAAGTGGTGCTTCAGGTGGGTAGATCATCCTGCAAGCAGCAACGGCTGCCGCATCTCACGATCTGGATCGTGTCGGGAGCATGGTCGTCAATGTGTGGTCTGTATGATGTTGATACGGGTCCTAATCTCAGTCTCAGTCCGGAGTATTCTTGCGGATAGTGGCACTGGAGCGTTTGATCGTTTCGTCGTGTCCGGCTACTATTCGTCTCTTCAAGCCCCGCCTTGGCCTTTGTTGCTGCAGACTCATTTGTCGTGCCCTGAGTTAAACCAGGATGAGAGTAGCCACCCTCTCGGGACCGCTAGAGAGATGGATCAAGATTGCAGGTATCCGTAGAATCCTTGGTCCAGACGAAAGCTAGAGGCGGTGGGAGCACTTGTGGGAGAGGAAAAACATGAAGAGAGAAGGGAGAAAAGGAAGCCTCCTCGAATGCTATTAGCGACCCATGCCACAAAGGGTTCCATTTGGTATTGGAAATATCCAAGACTGTCTTTCGGGTAATAAGTAAGCTAAACCGGCCGAGAAATACCGCACTGCAGATTATCCAACCCTGGGGAACGAAAGGCGGTCGTCAGAAATCACTTGGTATAAAAGTCGCGTCTATAACTACTGTCATTGGACAGACTGGACGCACGAGTGCGCGGGAGTCCCGTCGGAAGCGTTTGCGGCTTCCAAGTGGTCCGCTGGAAGCAGCACCTCAGTACGTAAGGTACCTTAGGTAGGTAGGTACCTTGGTCCTTGGGTATGAAAAAGCCGCTCGTTGCGCGCGGTCCAAATGAGAAGCAGCTGCCATACTCTGGAAGACGAAGTGAGCGTGGTAAAGTACCTCAGGTATCCATCCACACATCAAAGTGCAAACTAAGGCACATTAAGGTATCTCTTGTATGATAAATTAATAGAAGCTACCTCATTATCCGCTCCACGTTTCCTGTCTCCCACCTCACTGTCCCAAGTTGCTTGACCTGGATTTCCTCGATACCAAATGTCCCTTGACCTAAGGTATTGCCTCACCTACCTAGCAGGCACGGTACCTACCATCTCTTGGGAAAGTCTCTGTGCTCTGCAAATGTACTTTCCAATTTCGCATCTGTCTGTAACTCACCGCATCCACCCCCCTTCCACCACGTCGCAGCTTGCCAGGCTTTTTCGCGGCTTTGCCTTCCTTGACCGACTTGCCCTGACGTGCTGTATTCTCTATGAGTCTCCATCTTTCGTATGGATATCAAATCCTACAATGAGGTGGTGGTTTGCGCCGTTCCATCTCCGAATACAGATATCCTCTCCACTTTGCCTGGGCACCATAGCTGCCAGCATGGTGCACCCAGCCTCGCACTTTCTAGCTCGCGTGCTTCCAGATCCATCAACTTGTCACGAGATTGTGAGCTGGCCATGCCGCCCATTGTCGGATTTCAGCATGTTCAAGTCTCAACCCCCATACCAGAAGGGCACTAATGCAACTATGCGTCCACCTTGCCTGCTGCCCAACCTCCCACCAGCTTGAGTCCCCGGGTCCCCGACATGTTTTGTGAGCTCAGTACGGAGGATTCAGGACAAATGCGCATATCCATCCGTATGGACGCATACATATCTCCTCCCACCCAGTCGGGCACATCGGTCCGCGCCGCCCTGTTCCACGCGCCCCCAACATACCCCCTGCTTTTGTCAACTTTGCCCGTCGATTCTATCACATTCGAACCGTCAAGTGGTAATGCGGTGTACACACCAGCCCAGTCTGACTCCCTCACATGCACACGCGGGGCAGTTCCATGCATGGTAAGGCGAACGAGCCTCACTATTGTCGCGTCCCTCTTCGTCCCTGAGCAGACTGAGGTGACCAACAAACACTTCATTTTGCCTTCCATGCCGTAGTCCACTCAGGCATCAATGACAAGCCAAATCACAAACTCAACCGTTGCCCGACACTGTTTTTTCCCATCTTTCGTTCAACCGCACCTATCTATGCTCATCAGTCCAGCACCTTCTTGGCAATCCATGAGTCTATGCGGCAGTCTTTCGTCTTTCCTTTTCGTCTAGGATGCCTTCAACACCTAATTAAGGAAGTTAGACGGAAACACGCGGCTTCGTACCGCAGTACATTCACAGGCACACACGCATTTGGATCAGATTCATAGTACACGGCATCTTGATTTCTTAACCCAACAAACACGGTAGATACATTGTCTTTCTAACTGGCCTCCAAGTATGAGGCCTTGCAACACCTATCCGCGTAGCCGCTAGTATCCAGCTATACACCATTAGTCCTTGAAACGTCGTCCTTGTTTTCCTTTTCCTTTTCCTTTTCCTTTTCCTTATTTTTTTTTGGTATGCTCCCCAGCGACACCGCTGAGCGTTTGGTCGCAATGTACCCTTTTTCATGTGCAAATCAAAGGGTGGCCCATTTTGTCACGGCACTTGCCGAGAGCACGAAGATATCACTCTAACAATAGCCAAGGCCGCCACCCCTATAGATCCTGAGTAAGGGGCAAACAAAAAGAAACGACAACTTAGGTTGAAGTTGAACTGTCAAGGCGGAGAAAGCGCCTTGGACCCGTTGTCGAACGCCCCGGTTTTGGTTGCAAAAACAGCGACAGCGATGGCACAGGTAACCCAAGTTTCCAAGATCGCGCGCGGACACCATGATGTTGTATCGTGATTCCGTAGGCGCAACCCCTCGACTTTCAATTTGCCGCTCTGGGGCGCATTTCGCACCTCCAAGCGCCTGGGGGCCACCACTTACATTGCCGCTCTGATTCGCCATCGCTGCTGCCTGGATTCGTGTCCCCGCAACGTGAACGACTGCGTAGATGTCGGGTTTCGACTACTGAATGTCCCAGGAATCCTCAGCAGCGTGGCAAAACTTGCTGCAAGCAACGCTGGCGGACAAGCTGTAGTTGCTGATGGAAATCTTCTCGTCGACGAGGCCATCAGCAAAGGTATCGGCACCCTTTGCCATGGCACCGACGAAGACGCAAACACTCTCCTTGGGGGCGAGCGTGTCGATGTAGTCTCTGACGTGTACCAGAGGGGCCTCGAAACTGAGCGTAACCTTGCGGCAGTTGGGCGGAAGGTGATCGGTGATGGGATTCTGGATTACACGAAGCAGCTTCTCCTGCGAGTTGGTCGAGCGGATGGACAGGCGATGCAGCAGTTGAACCATCAGACCGGCAAAGCGCTTGAATGTACGCGGGATGCGAACAGACGGCGAGACCTCGATCAAGACACCCTTGGCGGTATGAATGTAGATCTGAAGCTTGCCGGCCTTGTTGATGGGGGAGTCGAGCAGGGTCAGGAGGCACTAGTCAGTATGGTCAGCATGTTGGATGCAGACACGGCGGGCTAGGCGCGTTGAGGCGCAAAAGCAGTAGCACAAGCAAGGGCAAGAGCAAGAGCAAAAGCAAAAGCAGTTCGCTGGTAGTATCCAACCTGATGTGTAATATCCGGGCGCGCGTCACTAATGTCGCGGTTCATCTTGCGCATAACTCCAATATGCTCGTCGCTGTTGAGTAGCGAGTACTTCTCCTCACGTTGGACGCCGTTGCGGCCGGTGCCGCCATGTGAAGCCTTGTAGGTCTCGAGACTGGCGTTGGAGAGAACGACAATGAGGCGCTGAGAATCCTTGTCGGTAGGAGGGATGGCGGTGTGCTGCTCAGCGACCAGCTGAGGGAGAGCAGGAGGGGGAAGAGACTGGGTGCCTGTTGGGATACGCAGGTTAGCAAACCTATGTCAATGGAGCAGAGCCAGCTGTGTGGGCTTGCCCTTGTGCGAACTGTCTGCCATGTCTTCCATCGTGTCGCGATTGCCTGCGTTGTGCTGGACACTCGATATGTGGTGTTTGGGGTAGGGGACGAGGTGAAGTGTGCAGGGCGGCGGGGTAGCTACGGCTTATAACCACGAAATGCTGCGCGCAATTGGAAGTAGGATGGCTGGCGCAGAGGCTGTCCGTGAAGAAGGAGGTTCCCGGAATGACAGCGGCAGACAATTGCAATAGGGAGGAGCCCTGGATTCGGGGTTTTCACTTGATGCAAGGGAAAACGTGAGTCGCGCAAGGGACGCACATTGGGAACTTACGAGGTCGCTTGACGCCAGCACGGGCCTCTGGAGAAGACATGTTGATTTTTTTGGAGGGGGAAATTCGACGATGGGGTGGTGAGATTCGGTGCAGGTTTTTCCCGGCTTCTTCTTCTGTTTTCTCTTCTTGTCTCGTTACACAGACAGGAAGGTGCGTACAGCAGGCGCGTTGTTGCACACAGCAAACAATGAAATGAGAAAGTAGTGAGAGAAAAAAAATGAAGAATAGTTGAGTGAACAGATATGGAATAGATCTGGTCACAGAGGTGAGGAGAGGGACTGCGTGAGGGTGAAGTAAATGGTAAAGTAGTGAGCGCGAGTCGAGAGGGAGGAATGTTGGTTTTGAATTTTCCGACGAGCGAGGGACCAAATCTGAGGGAAGATGATTCAGGCCGAGTTGCGAGGGAAGAAGACAGACTACCTTGGTTGGCTTAGTCCAAGGTGGTGGTGGGTGGGTGGCTTACCTTATGAGGGACACCAAAGTGACCAAACACTTGAGCAAAGGTACCGTCGCCTCTTCGAACCTAGGTACTGCGTACCTATGGATACTCACCTCACTCTTGACTGCTGCTGGGGCCCTTGGGACCTTGGGACCTTAGATGCGGGGTGAGTGTGATGGAAACGGAACTCGGATAGGTACATTTAGTACACAGTGTTGAGCTCATCTTATCACCGAAGCATTGCCCCGAAAGCACAGTTCTCTACAGTGCGAGAAGCGCCGATCAGAGGGAGGCACTTCTGAATCGTCCCTTTGAGTGGATTTCAGCAAACTCAGGCCCACCTTGCTCAAGGTACCTTACCTAGGTATCCGTAGGTTTGTCTTCTTTGCGATTTTTTACACGGTCAGAGTCACGGCACACAAGTTTCTGCTCGGCTCGGGTCTCAGCCACTCGACTTTTAGCCGCTACGGCGAATGTTTGCCGAACCATCAGGTGCGTTTACCCGTAACAGAGAAAACTAACGCTTCTTGGGTTCCGCGTCCTCTACCATATTACTTGGTCAAACTTGTCAGGTCAGTCTGTTTTGTACGTGAAGGCTTGCCTTCTCTCAGCAACCCCAAGGGGCAGGCTCCGTCTCGGTGCATTGAGACCTACCGAGATCGGGGAATCTAGGCGTCCGTCTGCCGATGCTGCCACTGGCTATTGTCCTTAGTGGTTTTTATACCAGTGTGAGAAGTCGGTGCCTTTAAACACTTGTGGCTAATGATGCCCCGGTAGATATGCAGTGGACGTGTGGGCCATGCTTTTTTGAGCGATAGGAGTACTGAAGAGACACTTGAACTCAAAGTTGCCCAGACAGCGGAAAAGTTAACCGCGATAGGAAGAAGGTAATACAGAAGAAAGCCTCGGTCATCTCCATAGCAGACGTGTCTTCACATGAGTAAAACCCCTGGTCACTTATATGGTATACGCGTCGGCCCTCTGGGGCCACATGGATACGTCGGAATGGCCTTGAATGGGTCATGGAAAATTGTATCATGTCAGTCTGATGCCCCTACAGAGGGTGCTCACAGCGATCAAATTGCGAGGGAAACGCCAATCCTGTTCCAGGAGAGCGCGTTTTGCCTTGAGGTAGGCAGTGATGAGTTAAATTGTCTATAGATAGAACACAACAGTCTGGTTCTGAGGGAAGTACTTGAGTATGACTGCGGCCTTTACATGGCTTGCATCCTGGTGGATAGCTGATCTGCTCGGAACGCATGACACCTGACAGACAAAACACCAAGGCAGTACATATTCGATCCCAATTCGAAGGCGGGTACGCTTACGCCTTGCTTGGTACCGATCGCTCCAGCTCATCGGGGATGTTTTTAAGCCAAAATAAGTGAAGCAAGCTCATGTTTCAGCTCGTAGAACCAACAGAGCGAACCAAGCCTTGGTATTGACTGTGACAAGAGAAAGAGACAAAGTAGGCTGATGAGCCGAGATAGACCTTGACATTGTACACCTAGGTAAGGTATCTGAGGTAACCCCCGTGGCCCCGGAACCCAGGAACCAGCTGTCACCAAAAGCCACAGGCCAAGCCAAGCCACCTTGTTGAATTTAAGGTTATCTTAGCGTCTGATCTTTCCACTCTGTCGGACTCCAATCGAGTAGGCCAGAAAATGGTCTTGGTGTCGGTAAAAACATGGCCCGCTTGACCAATGAGAAGCGAGGAATCATGATCCATTCTTTAATTTTCCACTCTCTCCAGGAGGCTTGAGCATACCGTATCGAGGTCACCATCACAGCCAGCGATCTATTTGAAATACCACGCGACACCCTCAGCACTTCCAAGCTCACGACCTGGTTCCCTCTTGGGATCTTTTCGACAGACCGAGTTCGCTGCCATTGTATATCACCAACCGCCCACCATGTCAGCCCAGACCATGGCGCAAGCCCGCGCAGTCGTCCGCGAGCTCAACGGCGTCGTCGTGAGCGCAGGGCTCATGCAGAAGACGGTCAAAGTGCGCGTGGGTGGCCAGCAATGGAAGCAAAAGGTCCAAAAGGTGAGATACATAGAACCCAGGAGTTATCAGCTCTTGGTCCATGACTCTTATCTTTGAGGAGACTAACCAGCCTCGGCTTCCTAGATGTTCACGAAACCAACGCACTACCTCGTCCACGACCCCAACTCATCCCTTCGCACAGGAGATGTCGTTTCCATTGTTCCCGGATGGAGGACATCACCTCACAAGCGCCACGTCGTAAAGAGCATCATCGCGCCCCACGGTACACCCATCTCAGCGCGCCCACCGGTACCGACCGAGGAGGAGAGAATCGCAGCCAAGGTGCAAAAGAGAGAAGCCAAGGTTGCTAGACGAGAGACGCGGCGGCAGGAGAAGTCTTCAAAATCGACTCCTGAGCCCGAGGTCGACTAAGGCCTGAGATTGGCGGAAGAAAAACTGAACAGAGAACCAGGAAAAGGTATAGTAAGGATTACAACACAACGCTGTATAACACAAAGGAGGAAGGAAAGGGAGTTGACACAGAGCACTGGGCATCGTATTCACTTCAGTTGACGATATCCTTGGCCTGATTTGTGGCTGGAAACGTGTAGACGAACATCCGAGGTCACTGGTGAATCATTGTACAAATACCAACACTATTGCAGTAGTCTCTTGTCTTAGCCATCTACGCAGAATATTTCGTAAAACTTGATATCTCTTGTTCCTTTACCGATAATCAAGCGCCTCTGGAGGGTATCACTTCCACGTGCGCTCCCCTAGCCAATCGACCAATCGCCATGTCACGCAGAAACAAAGAGAAACAAAAACACCTCGCGAATCGCATGCCTGCTGCCCTGCATCATCCACCTCGCTCGCCAAACTCCTTGGCCCAATCCTCATATTCCTTCAAGCCCGTTTTGCTCACACTCGGTCTGATAGTTGTCAGACTCGCCTCAAAGTCTGCCAATGAAATCGGTCGGATTTCGTCCATGGTCATGTGCAAGAGAGCTTCGCCCAAAGAGCGGAGCGGACCCATGGCCGCATCTTTAGCCAGTGCCGTTACATCGGAGCCCGAGAATCCTGTGCCCATATCAGTATCAGTTCTGATGGCCGTTTCGCCTCTAAAATGACGACGAATACTTACCATCTGTAAGGAGAACGAGCTTCTCAATGTCCGCGTCGGACAGGACATGCTTTTGCTGCCCCAGAAGTGTTCGAAACTGCGTAGAGCGAGTCTCGGACTCAGGCAGTGGTATGTATTGACGCCTCACAAACCTGCGGCGTGCGGCTTCATCAATAGCCCAGGGCAGATTGGTTGCCGCCAAGACAAGCACTCGGTTCGCATCTCCTCTGGTCTTGTCCTTTTCATCCACGGCCCGACCCGCCGCAGCTCGCTGTAAATCACTCCACTGAATGAGAAACTCAGTCTTGATCCTCCTTGTCGCCTCGTGCTCTCCCGACCCGGACCTCTGAGAAAGTAACGAGTCAATTTCGTCAACGAAGATGATGCTTGGTGCCAGAGTCTTCGCCAGAGAGAATAATGCTCGGACGAGCTTCTCGGACTCGCCCAAGTATTTACTCGTCAAGCTGCTTGCTGATATCGAGAAGAATGTCGACCGTGATTCTGTTGCTACAGCACGCGCCAGCATGGTCTTGCCCGTGCCTGGCGGACCAAAAAGCAGCATTCCTCTTGCAGGCTCCCGAAGTCCCATGAACAAGTCAGGTCGCAGGAACGGGTAAACCACGTTCTCCCTGAGTGCGTTCTTGGCTATCTCTAGGCCGGCAACATCGCTCCATCGGACCTCATCGCCCTGTACAATGATCTCATTGAGAATTTGCTTTGCGGCTGCCTCGTCCACGCCGGTTGGAAGGTTTTTCATAATCTTCTTTTTCGTTTCCTTCCAGGCTGTCTTGAGCGAAGAGCCCTCTTTTTCATCGTCGGCAGATGCTTCGGAAGAAGGGCCTTCAGCATCAGCTGCGATTGCGTTTTCTTTCCTCTTTCCCTTCCTCTTCTTGCCAGGTACCTTCGGACTTGTTTCTGCGTTGTCCGAGCAACTCGAAGATGAACGGCCCCGCGACAATTGCACGTTACGATGAGATCTATCGGCTTTATCCTGTTCTGATCCGCTCGTGAGATTATTATTGGGCCGGGTAGGTATGTCCCCGACTGGCTTCCTCCGTATTCTGGCCACGTCCGGCGTAGTCTTGCGTCGTAACTCTGACTCGTCAGCGTCAGATGACGGAGGCCGTTCATGAGGCGATGCTCTGGATCGTGAGACTGAGGACGTTGGGTCCCTTGAACGCGAGGTCCGCTCTTGTCTTGGGGTGCCATGCTCGACCCCTGGAGCATCTTGATAGGACATGGCGTTCAAGGCACTCGATGCCGCACTCACGGACAAGGCTGATGGTCGCACTTGCGATGAATCCTCAGATGTTCTTGCACTACCAGTCGCATCTGAGAAAGACGGATGAGCTTCTCTGGGCGTCACGAGCCGACGGGTATGTACGTCCCATTGCATGCCAGACGAGGGCGGCGGCTTGCGGGACTGCTCTGCAGGCGTGACAGGCGCAGACGATGAGACCTCTGGTACTGCTGGCGACGCTCTGGAGAGTCTTTCTCTAGAACTCAGGGCAGTCCATGCAAGAGTTGCAGCTTTGCTGGCACCAGGTCCTTCGGTCTTGGACAATTTTCGACTTGACTTTGCAGATTTGTCGCCTGGCCTCCCGCTCCGCAGGGTGGTCCGCATGGTGTATTTCTCAGGGCTCGGAGACCTCATAGTCGGCTCCTTCCTAGACGTTACTCGGGGAGAGTTTGAAGGGCCGGCAAAGGGAGACGTCACGGGACTTTGGTCGCGACCGACTACAGCCTGCTCAGATGATGTTCTGTAGGGCAACGACGGTCTTTTGGGCAACGCGGGCCGCGAGAGATCGGGATATCTTATAGCTGGAATTGTGCCTTGGCCAATGTAGCCTCGTTCAGGAGTAGACATGGTGTATGGGTCGGGGGAGATAGAGCGGTTCGGGGTGGGTGGGTTATTGGGTTGAGGAGTCAAGGCGTCTTGTCGGGATATTCGTAACGCTTCAAGCAGGTCAATGCGCTCCTTGCACTGCAGTTCGAGCTTGCGCAAAGAATCTATCAAGGCGTCTTCTGTTTCGGTTCCAGCAACGTAATTGGGTAGTAGCTTGGTGATGCGTTGGTCGTTGAGCTGATCTAGGGCATTCCTCCAGCATCGCATCGCCTCGGTCTCATCACCCTAGAACATGGGAAAACCTGAATTAGCACAGACAAATCATCCTTTGGTATGCCACGCCATTGAATTTCGGAGCAAGCAAAGATATACCTGGCTTTCATAGTAAACAGCAGTGGAGCATTTCAAGTAGCTGTCGTCGTATGTCTTCTGGAGGATGGCAAGGCCCCGAGAGCGTGACATGGTACTGGAAGCCAGACCATAGTATGTCCAAGTCTGAGTAGAGACGCGAGATGGTTCTGACGTTGGGGCAGAAAATTCGTCACGATCCGGAACGTCGAAACAGTCGGGATGAGCTTTCCACAGCGGAGGATGGAGTTGAGCGAACTGGAGCTGAGGTTGAGGTCAGGTAGAGTTCAAGGTCAGGATGCGGTGCCTTTGTTTCTCCCGCAGAGGGATTGCCGGCGAATGATGGCGGGGGGCAACTGAAGGCTAGCGGGCCGCAGTGACGTCGGTCTTGGTGGCTGAGTGGGGGTAAAGCAATAAAAAGGCAGACGGCAACTTCCAGCGTAGGTCATCTGTACCTTAGGTAGTGCTGCACGCGTTAGTGGCTAGCTCTCTCCCTTTGACATACCTACCTTACCTACCTACCAAAGGCAAGGTAAGTTACCTACCAGGGGAACACCACTACCCAGTATCCTAAGTGCCTTTATAATAGGAGAGGTAATGAACGTGAGATCCCGTCGGTCAGGTGCCTATTCTGCCAATACATAACTATATCTTACCTCGGGGTATCTGTTGATGCTCCTACAACACCAGTCGCACACATAAGTAGGTAAGGTACTTAATGTAGTATGGGTAGGTCAAAATACCAAGACTCCCAAGCACCTCATAGCAAACCTGGAAATTGTACCTCAGGTGAACGATAAGTCACAAAGCATCCTTTTGAAGCACATGGTCTGCACACGGCACTAGGCGATAGCAACACGCGGGGACGACTGGGTATTGAAGGTGTAGAAAGCCTTTGTGCTACCTATTAGTCTACCTGTCACACAGTCCACGCCAAAGCCTTAACCTCACTCTGAGGCCATATCCTCGGCCAGGCACCCTCGGCTTCTCCGTCACGCCCCCCTAAGACAAGAGGACCTTGATCTCCCCTGTGGTCCGAGGGAATAGGTCTCGCAGCAACTGAGGCTCGTCACCCTCATCAGCTGACGCACCGTCACCGGCTGACAGCTCGTCCGCTAAGAGCAACATCTGCTCGACGTGCTCAAACTCGTCGCAGAATCTTTCCGCAGCCTTTTCGGTGAGTTCTCGCGCCAGACTTGAATCTTGTAGGCGCTTAACATTCTCCATGGCGTCCATCAGCGCCGATGGTAAGAAGTCGTCCAGAGCCTGGCTGGCTCGACTCAGAGCTGGCGGCTGTACCTCGTCAAGCGACGCTACCTTCTTCACATCGCTGGCGTCCGTCGTAAAATTGCTTAAGGATTCAAGAATCTGCGCCAGACCAGAACCACGGCGGAAGAACTGGTATTGCTCTTCCGTGAGCTTCTTGCTCTCCTCTACAACCCTCTCCTGCAGCCGCTGTGTTCTTCTTTGAGTAAAGTCGAAAGGCTCGAGGGCATGCTTTGCTGCAAGCAAGCAGTTTGTTATGAAGATGGCACCAGCCGGTTGCCTCACACCTTTGGCCATATTTTCGCAACCTGCCAAGAAAGGCTCAAAGGCCTCTGCAAGAATTGGCTGAAAGTCGGCCTCGCGGTCCGATGACGACGCCAGCGAAATCTCGTACGTTTTCATGACCGCAGTAAGCTGCTTCAGTGCTTCGAGTAAAAAGTCTGGAGGCACAAGGTCAGAAGGCGTCTGCTGGAAATCGCCTTGTAGAGTTGCGATGTGATCCCTCATGAGCGATCGGAACTGCCTTAATGCGCCCGACTCAAGTCCCGTCATAAGCTCTAACAGCGCACACTCGCTGCCTAAAAGTTTGGCAAAGGTGTATCGATAGAAGCCAAGAATGTTGGCCAACTTGTAGGCGAGAATAGTCTCTTCGTTGGACTGAATGACCTGCTCGACTCTCTGCCTCAGCATTCTCGTTGCCCCTGAGACATCTCGGTCCACAAGGTCGTTCAGCGCCTTGAGAGCATCAAAGTCGGGTGCTGTCTCAGCGTCACCTTCGCCCAGAAGCTGCCAGAGCTCATTTGCCCGGCCCGTCTGGAGTCCCTTGGCGATTTCGTCGCCTTCCGAGAC